CCATAACTGGTTTACCTTGTGATAAGCGTCGGGTTCAATTCATTGAATTATCTGGTACTTCTATGTCATGCCCCCATATTTCTGGCATAGTTGGTCTTCTCAAAACCCTTTATCCAAAATGGAGTCCAACAGCTATCAAATCTACAATCATGACTACAGGTTCATTCTTCAAAATTCTTCAATCATTTTAAAATTTAATAGACTAATTAAACTAGTAATTTATGAATAGTAAGAAATGTTATTTGTGGTATTTACATTAAGAAAGATTTTGACTTAATTCTTGCCCACTAATGGTTTTGTTTTGTAGCTGTTGCGGAAGCCAATGACTTAAATCCAATAATAAGCTCAGAAAAGGAGAAAGCAAACCCATTAGCATATGGTGCAGGTCACGTCCAACCAAACAAAGCAGCAAATCCAGGCCTTGTTTATGACCTCTCCACCCAAAACTACTTGAACTTTTTATGTGCTCGTGGCTACAATAACAAAACAAATGAAACTATTCTCCAATGATATTTCATTTGTTTGTTCAAAGTCATTCAAATTAATAGACTTGAACTACCCATCAATCTCGATGTATAATCTAAAATCAGAGGTAGTGAAGATTAAAAGAAGAGTGAAGAATGTAGGAAGTCCAGGCACCTATGTTGCTAAAGTCGAGGCACCACCAGGAGTTTTGGTTTCGGTAGACCCAAGTACTTTGAAGTTCACTAAAACGGGTGAAGAGAAGGATTTTCAAGTTGTGTTGAGGAGGGTTCAAAGTAATCAAACTGAAGAAAAGCATGTGTTCGAAAAACTTGTGTGGCCTGATGGAAAACATCGTGTTAGTAGTCCAATTTTTGTGACATTAGAGATTTAGTAAAAGGTTGAGTTTAGCTTGTTTTAGCTTGAAAAAACAACTTGAAGGGAGAATTTTTTGGACTAAGAACCTTAACACTATGCTCTTTGATTCTCTTATGTTGTTGTAAATAGAACATACACATTAATATTTATTGATAAAACATTAACAAATTTCCTAAACTTTATCCTCAGTTAAAACAGCTAACCATTTTCCTAAATAAATCACTAGCCAGTTTCAAAAACTTGCTTAGGAACTTCATCATGTTTTAAGGTTCTTCCACCTCTTTTGCTAGGAACTAAGGTACTCCTCTGTTTTTGAACCCTATTATTATTGAATTTTTGTTTCTTTTTAGGTTTTTTTCGTTTCTTTTTACGTTTTCTTCTAGGTCTCTTTGGTTGAGACGGTTTGAAGCACTCTAAGTACTGAAGTTTTCTCTAATTTCTTCTTAGCTCTTTTCTTTGGTTCCTTCTTCTCATGACTCCGAGATTTCTTCTTCTCTTTCTTGCTATCAATGCTAATAGAAGCCTTTGAAAGATGTTGATAGTTTTTTATTAGTATCTTATACTAGCGATTGTACGACCGTTTCATTTTCATCAACAGAGCTTCGTTTTTGTCGAATATGTCAAGGAACAAGCCAATAAACTCTATTCTGTAGACTTCTTCTATTATTTTGACCCACGCTAATAATATATCTTTTTAAACTCGGGATGTAGTATTCATTGGTCAATAAACGTTGATCGTCATTCTTACATTGAAATAAGATAGATCCTTTTCATTGAATCGATACAATTATTGGTTTTAACTTTGATCAAAATATACCAAAACAAATAAATGGAAGAGAAAGAACAACTTGAGGGAAGAATTTCTTGGACTAAGAACCTTAAGCATTAAGCCTTTTAGTTCTTTTATGTCGGTTGTGAATAAAACATTTGAGTATTTATACGGGGGACAAGGCACTAACAAATTTTCTAAACTTTATCCTCAAGTTAAAACATGCTAATAATTCTCTTAAATAAATCACCAACTATTTTCCAAAACTTAGCTCTAGAATTTGGCAACTATTAACGGTTAGTTTACTACTAACAATTCTTTTACTAAGTCAAGATTATTGAATCACAAATGGATCTAAAATAAGTGATAGTTATACATAGTGTCCTATACAAAAATTAAATAATAAATTATGAGGTTTTACTATATAAATCACAACTTCTACTTCCATTATAGTTAGTGAGACATGAGTTCTAGAGCAGACTCTACATCCAACCTTTGTCTTAGAGAAGATCGAGATATGTCTTGTAATATGACATTTTATGTAACTCTTTAAACACTTTAACTCAAAGAGTTTAAATAGTCATTTTGGTCTCTAGCACTATACTTTTTCTCTGGAAATCATTCCTTATACATTGAACTTTCAAATTTCCTTATCAATTTGTATATTAATATTATCATAACAAAGAGTGGCAACCAGTGACAAACTGACAAATTAAATTGCGTTTACAATAGCAGATTATGCAATAAAAACATGTATGAAAGATAACATTAGAAATTACAATAAAATTTTATGTGATTTAAAAGAAATAAATGAACTCAGTAAGAACGTTTACAAGCACAGGTATGAGATTGTTTACAAGGTAGGAAACAAGATTGGGATACAAGAGTTATAAAATATGACATTCTATAACATGCAAACATACTAGATGGACACCCTCTATGGCTTCAAAGTTCCCGAGTACCTCTTGTCTCAACCTGTGACATGAGTCACTTGAGAAAAAATAAAGGAACGAAGGGGTGAGTATAAAATTATACTTAGCAAGCAACTTACTTGTGGGCTCTCATCACATCCATTGCCTAGTTGGTGTCTACAAACTTTTCTCTAGGCTCAAGGTATGCAACCTTTACTTCTCTCGGACTTAAGTAACTATCTTAGCCTAAGTAGTGGTTACTCTCGGGTTGAGACATTACCTCATAAAACTCTTTCACTAATGGAGACATTGTGGTATGTGTTATCTTGCTCTAATCTATGGGAGGTTAGTTGGCAAACCCTACCTACAGGACCATCATGTTATCCAAGGTTGGTGGAATGACCCCTTTGTGCTTGCTAGCAACTAGGACTACCTACATAATCCTACGTCCTCTCGAAGGATGGATCCGTTGTGTAGGGTAGTCCAACTAACTTGTCAGTCACACAACCCTAACAAATTTAGGCTTGACTTAACGGTATTGGTACTAGTATGGAGGAAAGTGGAAGTCTATTTGATACCATACCTACTGCTATAAGCTTGGATACTACCTTAGTCTATCTAGTTTGTTGTGGCAGTACTCTTAGGTTACTAAGGCGGGTTGGTGGCTTTGACATGGACTCTCCTCTCTATGATGATCTGTTCTGGCTCCTTGACCCTTACTTGGTTGAGTGAGTGTAGACCCATTGATCGCCACTCATGATTATAAGGTGCTCAGTCTGTTAGAGTCATTCGATCTCTACGAATCGTCTAGCCAATCTGTTTCTAATACCCTAAGCTTATCTCTTAATAACTAAATTATTTCTATTAGTGAGAATACACATTCATGCTCCTGAAGCTAATGTACAATAAGACATGCAATTCAACCACACTTACCAGGGTTATAACATCCATCAAATAACCTGAGCACATATCACAAGTTTTCATCATCTGTCTGCATATTTATGAACATATTAGTAATAAACCATCATGGACTTACGTGTTCGAAAACTTAAATTCCATCTAAAAATACAGTTATGGACTTACCCATTCTAAAATATCTTTAAAATGACGTAATAATAAACTAAATTAAACAAATAAACATTTAAATTAAAGACATCTCATTCTAACTCAAATCTAAGAAAAATAAATGTGACTACCCTACGTATGTGACATGGTCTCGAGTTGCGATTTCGTCATGAACCATATAGGAATTCCTCGCCATTACTTGAGATAAGAGTAGCATATGGCTTGAGTATTTTAAAACATACTTCGTAAGTGACCCCACTATTAAGGTCAAATGCAAACACATACAATCTCATCAATGAGACCTATCATAATTGTCTATTTTCTTACGACGGCTATCCGACCAGGCAATTGGGATGTGTACTTAATTTTCCTACACACAGTCTACACGTGCGAATACGAACCCACCAATCGGTTCGCACACCTCCTCGGCACCCTTTCTAGTCGAGCAAGCATTCTCCAGGAGTTGTTGCTGCGTAGCACCTGTTAGGAATAGCAACCACCACAGCAACATTATGATAAACATAATGAACGTTCCCCAGACTAGTAGTGTACGCGTCTGTACTATCGTCAAGGAATAGGGGTATCCCCTAATGGATGAACACACAATAATGCATGAGGTCCCAACATTTTTCTATTTTAATTATCATTAATACAACCCTGATAGCATCTCGTACTTATCATATCATTTCTCATATCATTTATCATAATTCTCATGTGTATGCCGGAGTTGTATTTTATACTAGTTCATCGTTTTGCATGTCAATCATAACATATCATTCATGTCACATATCAATCATATCATAACGTTTTTATGCTTTCAGACATAACAATCCATATCGTGCACATATTATATCATATTGTGTATCATAACAATCACATAACATCCCTAACATATCGGTTCACATTATATCATATCATAACCGTGTCAATAATTACATATACCGTACCATAACCTATATCATTTAAATCTCATCATTTTACTATGCATATATATTCGACAAATGGGTTAAGACTTCTAATAATAAAAGATATTTATGCATTGTTATTATTTATTCCAAGTTAAAACTTCTAATAGTAATAAAAGGGTTTAAAATGGAGAGATACCATTGCATAAAAATCTCCATTTATTTATAGCAGGTGCCATGAACAAAATTTAAGAGGATGATCTTGCAATTGGAACAGAATCTCTTCTGGTGCTGTCAAATGGGACAAAACCATTAAAACATACCATATTCATTTTGATAATATCCCTTATTGATTCAATGTTTTTAGAACAGTATGAGTTGTTAAATAATTTACATTCCTGCCATAATTATCTTAATAATTTCTTCAACAAACCATGAATTTCCACTATTCCCAACTCTATAAAGAGAAATGGAAGATGAAGCCCAAATGAAACACTGATCACCAAGGAATCATTATTCTTAAAGAGGAAAAGAAATGGAGGCCTTCAATCTTCCTCCTTTACTTCTGTCCTTTCTTTTTGTTCTTTTGCAAACATCCACCATTGCAGCCAAGAAGGTTAGTCATTCATCACTTATAAATCCTTTTTAATGTTTATACCAAATGCGTTTTAGACACTCAAGTTTTTTTCGAAGTTTTTTTCTTAATTGTGTGCAGTCTTATATTGTTTACTTGGGATCACATTCACATGGGTTGAATCCTTCCGCAATTGATCTTCAACGTGCAACACAAACCCACTACAATCTACTTGGATCCATGTTAGGAAGGTGAATCTTTTAGTTTCAAATCAGGTAGTGCAGATTTGTTGAACTCTCACTCCTAATTTACTATCGTATGTTTCTGTTTCCAAGTATAGCAACGAAGCAGCTAAGGAAGCAATCTTTTACTCATACAATAGACATATCAATGCCTTTGCAGCTGTTCTTGATCAGAAAGTTGCAGAAGATATAGCAAGTAAAATGATTCTATCTGTTTTGATAATGATTTTCTTCCTAGTAAAATTATATTTGTTTATTCCTAATTTATTGGGTTTGATAGTTTTATGGAAACATTACAAGACTCATAAAAAAAAGTTCCGAAAACCCTTTTTAGTTTCCAAAATTTTGTAGGTGGGAAGTATTCACAAGCTTAATTTCAAAAGTCAAATAGTAATCAAGGCGATTCTCGTTTCTTTAATTTAATAATGATGATGTTTTTATCCTTTTTCTTTTTTAGAGCATCATGATGTGGTATCAGTACATGAGAACAAAAAACTAAAACTGCACACTACACGATCATGGAACTTTCTTGGAGTTGAGAATGATGGTGGAATTCCTTTAGACTCACTTTGGAATCTTTCAAGATTTGGTGAATCTACAATCATTGGCAACATTGACTCTGGTTGGTCTTACTCATGTTTGAATTGTTTTTTTTTTTTTTTTGAGCTTTTGTAATAATTTTTATATGAAATTGAAATTCATACAGGTGTTTGGCCTGAATCAAAGAGTTTTAGTGACGAAGGATATGGACCTATCCCAACAAGATGGAAGGGAAGTTGTGAAGGTGGCACCCACTTTAGTTGCAATAGGTCCCTAACATTAAATCTCTTATTGTTACTTCATCTCTAATTAATTCTTTTAGAAATATGCACACTTTCAATTGTCTAATATGTTAGGCACAAATTAGACCCTTTCATTAGCACAATAGATAAATAATTGACAATAGTTGTTCAAAGTGAATATTAATCTAAAATTTGTTAGATCTCTATCGAAACATTATTAATGATACTAAAAAGAAATTTATAAATTTTTAGAGCAAAATTAAGTCAAAGTCATTTTCTTGGTTAAATTATAAGTATAGTTCATAAACTATCAAATTTATGTTTAACATATCTTTAAATTTTAAAAATTATATAATAAGGATTTGAACTTAACTCCTTTTGAATTTTCTTTTTTATATACAAATGATAATAGATTTTTCTTTGTCGCGTTTGTATTCTAGCTAATCATTGTATCAAATGCTTGTATACAATTTTAAATGTAGGAAGCTGATTGGAGTACGATATTTCAACAAAGGTTTTGCATCCGACGTGGGACCTCTCAACTCAAGCTATGAAACAGCAAGGGACGTTGATGGGCATGGAACACACACCTTATCCACGGCTGGAGGCAATTTCGTTAAAGGAGTAAGCATTTTAGGGAATAGTTATGGCACTGCAAAAGGGGGTTCCCCTAAAGCCCTTGTTGCTGCCTATAAAGTATGTTGGTCTACAGATAGAGGTGATGGGTGTTTTATGGCCGATATTCTAGCTAGCTTTGAAGCTGCCATTAGTGATGGAGTTGATGTTCTATCGGTTTCACTCGGTGGAGGTATTCAAGAATTTTCCGACGATCTTATAGCTATAGGGTCCTTCCATGCAGTGAAGAACGGCATCACTGTTGTTTGTTCAGCTGGAAATTCAGGACCAAGTGAAGATACTGTCTTAAATGTCGCACCATGGATGATAACTGTGGGAGCTAGCACAGTTGACAGGCTTTTTACAAGTTACGTGGTGTTGGGAGACAAGAGGCAATTCAAGGTACTCTTTCTAACACTGGTTAGTAGTATATAGTATTGTCCTTATACATATTTAGGTAAGTATGGAACCAGTTTTAAATATAGTAAATTGCATTAGGCATGTGAAATTGTATGTATACGTGTCTATATTTGTATCCATTGAGTTTATGGCTCTCTACTATGTTTATGTTCTCTTCAATGATGTTTCATTATCAATACCAGGGTGAAAGTCTTTCTAGTAAATTATTGCCACCTAAGAAGTTCTATCCGTTGATCCGTGCTTTAGATGCAAAATCCAACAACACCTCTAATCACGAAGCGTGAGTATTTTTTTCTCTAAACTATACAAAATATCCCTAAATTTTAGATACATTTCAATCATGTCTTAAACTTGAATTTTAAATTAGATCCAAAAATTTTCCAACAATAAAAATTAATCATTTTTTTTATATAGTGAGTTATGATCATAATTTTTTCTAATTTGTAGAATATTTGCATCTTTCACAATTTTTGAAAGTTTTAAAATAAAATTTTTCAAAATCGTTTAAGAGTATTTTATATAATTTAATCCCGATAGTTTTACAATAATAATTAGAATAAATTGATTATAGCACATGATACTAAGCAAAATTTATTGTGATCTTGTAGCATACTATGTCGTCAAGGGTCTCTTAATCCTGAAAAGGTAAGAGGAAAAATTGTAGTTTGCCTTAGAGGGGAAAATTCAAGAGGGGAGAAAGGTTACGTGGTTGCTCAAGCAGGTGGTGTTGGGATGATTCTCGCTAATGACAAAGAAAGTGGGGATGAACTTTCGGCTAGTCCTCACTTTCTTCCTGCTTCACATATAAGCTATACCGATGGTGAATCAGTCTACCAATATATCCAATCTACTAAGTAATTACGCCATCTTATTCCATCAACTTCCATATTTATTCACGAAGTATTTTGAACTTTTTGATCTAATAAACATAAAATTAGAAGCATAGGAATCTATTAAATGTATTTTTTAAGTTAAAAAATTTATCAAACTCAAAATTTGTTACTTATATTTGATGTTTGTGGTTGAAACAGCACTCCAATAGCTTACATGACTTCCGTGACTGAGTTGGGAATCAAACCAGCACCAATTATGGCTTCATTCTCTTCGAGAGGTCCCAACATAGTTGAGCCCTCAATACTCAAGGTTGGTTAAAAACGATGTGTTGAGTACTTGTATAGTATAAAGTTCAATGTGTCATCCCCTAACAATCACAAAATTTTAAATAATGCATTTTTTTAAAAAATTCAGCCTGATATAACAGCACCAGGGGTGAATATAATAGCGGCTTTCTCTGAAGCAACATCCATATCTGGTTTACCTTATGATAAGCGTCAAGCTCAATTTATTACATTATCTGGCACTTCCATGTCATGCCCCCATATTTCTGGCATTGTCGGCCTTCTCAAAACGCTTTATCCAAAATGGAGTCCAGCAGCTATCAGATCTGCAATCATGACGACAGGTTCATTATTCAAAATTCTTCTATCATTTTAAAAGTTAAGGGACTAATTAAACTAATAGTTTATATATAGTAAGAGATGTTATTTATGGTATTTGCATTATTTTGCATTAAGAAACTTTTGATTTAAATCTTGCTGACTAACGGTTTTGTTTGGTAGCCGAAACCGAAGCCAATGACTTAAATCCAATACTAACCTCAGAAAAGGAGAAAGCAAACCCATTGGCATATGGTGCAGGTCATGTCCAACCAAACAAAGCATCAAATCCTGGCCTTGTTTACGACCTCACCACCCAAGACTACTTGAACTTCCTATGTGCCCGTGGCTACAATAAAACACTATTGAAACTATTCACTAATGATACTTCATTTGTTTGTTCAAAGTCATTCAAAGTAACAGATTTAAACTACCCATCAATCTCAATGAATAATCTGAAATCAGAGGCAGTAGAGATCAAAAGAAGAGTAAAAAATGTGGGAAGTCCAGGCATGTATGTTGCTCAAGTCGAGGCACCACCAGGAGTTTCTGTTTCGGTAGACCCGAGTACTTTGAAGTTCACTAAAACTGATGAAGAGAAGGATTTCAAAGTTGTGCTAAGGAGGGTGCCAAATAATCAAACTGAACAGAATGTGTTCGGAAAACTTGTATGGTCTGATGGAAAACATCGTGTTAGTAGCCCGATTTTTGTGATATTAGGGATTTAGTAAAACAAGCACATGAGTTGGATTGAGTTTAGCTCAATCTTTTGAAAATTTATTTTCTGGTTAACAGTTCTTATGTCGCATAATAATGAATTTTTAGTTGTTTTTTTTTAGCTTAATTTATTTAAGTTTTTTTTAGTTTAATTTATTTAAGTTGTTTTTTATTTAAGTTTTCGTCATGTTGTAAGCTACTCCTCTTTTTCAACCCTATTATTATTGAATTTTTGTTTTTTAAGGTCGGCCTCTAGGCCTCTTTGGTTAAGACAGTAAGTTTTATGAAACACCTTGACTCGTAGATGGCTATTTCTGACTAAGGTGACCTCTAATTTCTTCTTAGCTATGTTCTTTCGTTCCTTACTCTCACGACTCCCCGATTTCTTCTTCTCTTTCTTGCCCTCGATTCCAATGGAGGTTTTTGGAAGATATTGATGGTATTTTATTAGTATCTTATACTGGCGATTTTGCGACTGTTTTGCCTTCTTCAACAGAGCTTCATTTCTGTCGAATATCTTGAAGAACGAGTCAACTAACTCCATTATTCTACCTTCTTTCTTCGGTTACTTGATCAAAGCTAATAATATTGTTTTTCAAACTTGGGATGTAATATTCCTTGGTCAATAGAAATAGACATTGATCGTGGTTCTTACACTGGAATCATATAGATCCTTTGCCTTTGATCGGTACAATTATTGGTTTTGACCTAAGATCAAAATATACCAAAACAAATAAATGAAGGAGAAAGAACAACTTGAGGAGAGAGTTTCTTGGACTAAGAACTTTAAACACTATGCTTTTTAGTTCTCTTTTGTCGTTGTGAATATAGCTTACATTTAATGAGTATTTATATATGGGAGAAAACACTAACAAATTTTCTAAACGTTTTCTTCCGGTTAAAACGTCTAATAATTCTCCTAAATAAATTATTAAATATTTTCCAAAATTTAGCTCCACAATTTGTCAACTACTAAAAATTGTTTTACAACTTACAGTTCTTTTACCAAGTCAAGTTTATTGACTCACATAACGATCTAAGGTAGGTGACAACTATAAAAAAAGTATCTTATACAAAATTTAAATAATAAATTACTGAGTTTTTATGACATAAATCCCAACAATCTTCCACGAGCATTCAACATATTTTTCTTAGGGAGGATGAGATGTCTTATTTTTATATAAATCAAAACAATTGTCATTAAATAGTCATTTTGGTCCATACCACTATATTTTCTCTGTCAAAATCATTCCGTATACATTTATCTTTCACCCTTTCCTTGAAATCAATTTGTACATTAATATTTTGATAAAGAGCGGCAAAGAGAGACAAATTAAATCAAATTTACTATACTGTCACGACTTGAAATTTGAGCTCGTAATAAAAACATGTATGAAAGATTACTTTGAAAATTAAAATTTTATGCGATTTAACAGAAATAAATGAACTCACATTAAAACAAAAGTAAGAACGTTTACAGGTAAAAATGTATGAGATTGTTTATGAAGTAGGGAACGAGATTGGGATACAAGAGTTATAAAGTATGATATCCTATAACATGCTGACACACTAGATGCCCTAGGTCGACACCCTCTGTGGCTTCAAAGCTCCTGAGCACCCCTTGCCTCAGCTAGTGAAATCAGTCACTTGAAAAAAATAAATGACGCGAGATTGGGATACAAGAGTTATAGATGCCCTAGGTCGACACCCTCTGTAGCTTCAAAGCTCCTAAGTGACACAATCTCACTTTTGAAGGCAGCGAACTAGCGATTGTGCGGCACTCACTTTCCAACGACAAGTGAGCTAAGCCAATTTGTTCTTGCATCGCCTACGGCCAAGCGACGTATGATCGAGCCTCTAGCCTCAGTTTTAAAAGAAGGTTTTAGAAAATGAGGGTAGAGAGAGATTTTAGAAAGAGACATTTTTGAAAGAGACGTTATATAAGCAAGCAAGAGAGAGATAACAACGGCTTAGCATATATAACCTTGGGTAGGGAGAAGTTGACAACTAGTATAGTACATTTTGAGGCATTTCATGTCTGGCAGGCCTAGACATGATATTTTTGAGGTGTCATACGCCCTAGAACTACAAAAGTAAAAACACAAGAAAGAAAAGACATGACAAGGGTTTGGCTTGTCATGGGTATGCGGCCATGGGCAACACGCCCTGAACGAGCATGACCGTGACATCCTCCCCCACCTAATTGGTTGACGTCCCTATCAACCGACTACTTTCAAACCTTGCGATGTGGGTGGCGGCGGAGTTCAGATCTTCGACGCGTTCCCAGCTGGTTTCCTATGTAGGGAGATTCTTCCATTTGACAAGGAATTCACGAATCGTCCGTACAGGTCTTCCTATCTTCCTAACCCTGTCGGCGAGGATCTCCTCTACTTCTTTTGTTTCTTTTTGCTTCAGATCGATGCTCGGTCTCGTGATTGCATTTTGTTGGTCGTCGTCTGGGTCAGGGTGGTAGGGCTTCAAGTTGCTAACATGAATTTCTGGGTGGATTTTCATCCATGCGGGTAGTGCAACTCGGTAGGAGGTAGCCCCGATCTTTTTAAGGACTTCAACCAGGCTTTCATATTTTAGAACGAGTCTCTGGTCCTTTCGGCTGCGAAATCTGATCTGTTCTGGTTTCAGCTTGATGAGAACTTGATCTCCTGCTCGAAATTGAAGGGGGCGACGCTTCTTGTCCGCCCACATTTTCATATGCTTGGAAGCCTTCTCTAAATATGCCCAGGCTATATCTGTTGTCTGCTTCCATTCTCTTGTGAAGTTGTGAGCTTGAGGGTTTTTCCCTGCATAAGGATGATCAATAATATGGGGTAAGGCTAGTTGTCGTCCACTTACAATTTCGAAGGGACTCTTCCCATAGACGAGCTGGTTTGACAATTGAAGCAAAATTGGGCGACATCTAATAGTTGTATCCAGTTCTTCTGGCGAGCGTCGACGAAGTGAGGTAAGTATTCTTCGAGCAAGCAATTGAACCGTTCTGTCTGTCCATCGGTTTGAGGGTGATAACTCGAGGAGATGTTTAAGGTTGTTTCCAAGAAGGCGAATAACTCAGTCCAGAATGTCCCAATGAATTTGTCATCCCTATCACTGATGATGCTCGACGGAATGCCCCATAACTTTACAACGTGTTTGAAAAATAGTTGGTTGTGAGTTCAGCTGAGCATAATTTGGGAGTGGGGATGAACGTCGCATATTTTGAGAATCGGTCTACGATAACCAAGATGGCGTCATATTCCCCGACTTTTGGGAGGTGTGTTATGAAGTCCAGAGATACACTTTTCTAGGGTCTTGTTGGCACAGGTAGAGGTTCCAAAAGTCCTGAGACTTTGGCTTTCTCGACTTTTTCCTGTTACAGATGAGGCATGTCTTGGTGTATTGCATGATGTCGTCTCGCATGTTTGGCCAGAAGTACCCCTTTTTTATTAGGGCGTATGTTCTTTGCCACCCAGGGTGTCCGGCCCATAAGGTAACATGACATTCCTGAATGAGCTTCTTCCTCAGTTCTCCCGTTCTTGGGACATAGAATCTGTTTCCTTTTGTCATCAAAAGGTCTTCCTCAACCCAAAACTGTCGTGTTTTCCCAGCTTTAGTTAGTTCGACGACGGCTTTGGCCGATGGGTCTTTGTGTAAATGTTCCTTGATGATGTCGCACATCAATCCATCGATCTTACTTGAGTGAATATGGGCTAACATGCACAGGGCCGCATGTTCGCCCTTCCGACTCAGTGCGTCGGCTGCTTGATTACTCTTTCCTGTTTTGTGTTCGAACTTGAAGTCGAATTCGACCAACGACTCCTGCCACCGGGCTTGTTTTGCCGTCAATTTTGGTTGATCAAAGAAGTGACAAATGGCGTTGTTATCCGTCTTCACTACGAATTGAACCCAAGAGATACTGTCTCTAGACTCGAAGGCAATGGACTACTGCCAACATTTCTTTCTCGGATACAGTGTATCTACGTTCGGCGTCATTGAGCTTTCGACTTTCGTAAGCGATGGGGTGGCCTTCCTGAATAAGGACCCCACCTAGGGCAAAGTCGGAAGCATCTGTTTCTATTTCAAATGGCTTTGTAACATCTACCAATCCGAGGACAGGACCCCTCGTCATGGTTGTTTTCAGATCTTCAAAGGCCATTTGACAATCATTTGACCACGACCAAGGGTGGTCTTTCTTCAACAGCTCTGTCAATGGGGCGACTCGTCGTGAAAACCCTTCGACGAACCGCCTATAGTAGTTGGCTAATCCTAAGAAGGACCGCATATAGGATACGGAAGTAGGAACCTTCCATTCTTGGATAGCTTTTATCTTATCGCTATCCATACTAATCTGTCCACATTTGTCGACATGTCCAAGGAAGTTGATGCATGTTTGTGCGAATGCACATTTCTCTTTCTTGACATTTAGTTGGTTCTGTCGTAGCTTGTCAAACACCAGCTTCAAGTGCACTTTGTGTTCCTCTAGGGTTGTGTTGTAAACCACTATGTCGTCGAGGTATACTATGACGAACTGATCCAAGTATTCGTAGAAAACTTGGTTCACCAACATGCAGAAAGTAGCTGGGGCGTTTGTTAAGCCAAAGGGCATTACTAGGAATTCGAAGGCCCCATATCTTGTTACACACGTCGTCTTAGGCTCGTTCCCTTCGGCAATACATACTTGGTAATATCCTGATCATAAGTCCAACTTCATGAAGTACTTGGCCCCGTGAAGTTGGTCGAACAAATCGAATATTATTGGTAGTGGATATTTGTTGCGTACCGTCACCTTGTTTAAGGCTCTATAGTATATACACAGACGCAACGTCCCATCCTTTTTCTTCTGGAACAGTACGAGGCTTCGTAGGGTGCCTTTGCCGAGCGGATGAATCCCGCCTTCAGCAACTCATCCAGTTGTTTTCTTAATTCGGCTAGCTCGAGCGGAGCCATCCGGTATGCGTTCTTCACTGGCGGTTTAACCCCGGGGATGAGTTCGATTTCATGATCAATGCCTCGACGAGGTGGTAATGTTTGGGGT